GTGGACAATGTATTTTAAAAACATATTTTAAAATTTATATTTTTGACATACACATAAATCTTGAAAAATATTATCAAATCTTGTTTTATAAAGAAGAATGTATTCTATATTTTGAAATAAATTTTAACAATTTTTATTGTCCACAAGACGATTATACTGTCAGACATAGGATCGCCGACCGACTGAGGAGACTCGAGCTAACTCCCGCTAGACTTATGTCGGTAAAGAATATTATATCCTATTATTCATCAAATGCCTGGATCTTGATATTATAGGATATGACATTTTTCTGCTCTATCTTCGGTGTGTCTTTATCATCAACACCGTACGCCCCAAAACGACTACTTGCGACCTTGCTTGATGGTTTCACGTATAGCAAAAGGCTATACGTGGACACTTATGCATCAGACATAAGCATCGAAAACCGAACCAAGAAGCAAGGAAAGAATGCAAGTGTGTCTAAAAAAGAGGCTAATAATGAACAATGCATTTGTTATTTTGTTGCATGAGTGTCTTCTTTGAAAAGCCCATCCACCACAACGAGAATGAAGTCACATCTCAAGGAGTGTGTAAGAGAATGAGGACATTCTAGTGGATAAGACATTTGGGCAATCAATTCTAATGTGTTCAAGAATGAAGTCATGCATTCAAGGATTGCATAAGTGAGCAAGGATAATATGCTAAAATACCTTCTTATAGAGGTGGTTTGTATGCATAATTTGTTATTAAACGCAAAATTGATGTAGGAAACAGGATTGATGCTTTCATGCAAGATACATTGGAGCTAGTATAGCTTATGTCGAGTTCAAGATACTGAGCAGAGACTCCCATCCTCCAGAATATCATATCTGAACTTTTAGCTTACATTTCATCGGACTTTACACTTTGTTGGATCGTTCTCACAATATAGGATAATTACCTGGGCTTATGTACATAATGGCTCCATTTGAGTTTTCCAATGCACTAAAACAAAGAAAATATTTGATTATCTTCACTGCTGATCAATTGAAATAAAAACTTGTAAGCAATATAGTTAAATTGTGTTTCTTACTAGGATAGCCAAAATTTTTAGCATGAATCCTCTAGTGAGAACCAACAAGCCCTTCGTGTGTTTAATTTGTGAATTTTGTAAATAGAAGGAATTACCCTTTAAAATGTGAAAGAGCTATTAAATAAAATGGAAAATTTTCTTTAAGACCAATTCGGAATAATTTTTTATAGTCGGTGAGTAAATTGGACAGTTGCCAATTGTTGGGGACTATTTTGGGCTTTTCTCGCTATAAATTTGAAACCCTTCATTAATTTCCTTTAGCATTGTTTATTTTTAAAAAATTCTTCTCATTTTAGTGATATTTTTGAATGAAGCATCTTGTGTCTGCATCTTTATTATAATTTTTTATGTAAAGCCTCACAGGAAAACCTAGAATGATTCTACCAAAATTTCTTTTTTTATGAAGAAGTACCAAACCCACTCTTCTGCAAGTTTTTGGATGCTAAGCCAAGTTACACCTATCATGAGCTTTTTTTTTTTTTTAATGCACTGAAAGCTTTGCTTGTTCCTCTTTTGCATGCCATTAAATTCTTCTTTTTTTTTTTGGTTGGTATTCCTGCTCTGAGAAAGTTCAATCAAGTAACCCCATGTTTACTAATTTTAATTTGTCCCTGAGATTCTCAGGTATCTTTAGGCGCTTTTTCATGAAATCCTTCATTTTGATATTACTGTGTTTCTTTTATATGCCCATTCTTCTTCCATTTCAAAATATACATATAGAAATATCTTGCTGATTTATTTGTGCGCCATAAAACTTTAACATTTATGGTGGTCATTAGTTGTTTGTTATAGACGCACATCACTTGCGATGGCAGATTTTGTTTTTCCATGGTTAATTATTTTTTCATGTAGTTGGTTTTGATTATTGCATATTTCAACATGGATTTGTGTCCTGTCCTGAAAGTAGCGTGTTTTGGTTGTTCGTCTTTGCAGACCTTATTGAATTGTTACTATGGACAATTCTGTTATTCCTTTGTGGTTCTATCTTAGAAAACATGCAGAGTTCCATCATGATGAGCAACATGTTTATCATTAAATTTTTTTTTTTTTAAGTGACGGTTCAAAGGAGAACAAATCTAGACACACACACAGTGTGTGTGTGTGTGTGTGTATTATTTAAATTATTTAATTTATGGGATCTTAAGATGATATGAGATTGTTGTTTTTATATGCAATGTGAATTTTTTTCTAGGATTTGCTCCTCTGTTGTGCTTGAATGAGGATTGATAAGTTGTTTGTGAAATTGAAATGCTAGAAGAGTGATGCCTATTTGTTGGGATCATATACTAGGTTAATATGAAGTTCATTGCAAACATTTAACATATAGGCATATGCAGATAGTCTCCAAAATTGTGAACCACTTCACCGTCATTGTAGTCTCATAATAATGCTTTACTGCTTCTATAGGCTATTTTTTCTTAAAATTTCCATAGTCCTTATTTACTCAAATTTTGAGTAATTATTATTATTATCATTGTTTGCTCTTTCTATCATTCTCTGATGCGCTTCTGTTTAAACGGTTCAGACAATTGAAATGCTAGAGAAAAAAGAGAAAGTTCTTCTGAAGAAAGCTGCTGCCGAAGTTGAAAAGGCTAAGGAGTTTACAAGAGCCAAGAACAAACGAGGTAAGCTTTGTGTTTTTCAAGGTTGAGTTTGGATTTTGTACAGCTTTTTATTCATACCCGAACTTACTGTTCCTTACAACATACAGTTATTTCTGTCTTGTTGAAAGAGAGACTCTTAGTGAAGATATGGAGGTGCGCTGATGTATGACTTGGGTGATATTTTAGCTTCTTTAATAGTCTGAAATAAATGGAAATAGATTAAGGAATGGTTTTGTTAGAGTTGGTTAGATGAGGATTTTCAGCAATCAATGACGACGTAATGAAAGCTGTATTTCGGTGCTCTGAACATGCACAATGAACATATGAATCAAAAAATTGATTGATAAAATGTGTGAAAGCTAGAGGAGTTAGATCAAAGGTGGCATTATTACATGTAATGCAAACAGACATGCATGAATTGAATTTAATTCTTGAAGCACACTAACTAGGACTAAATTGAAGATTCATTAAGTTTTTCCTTTTATATGAAATAAGAGTGAGAGAAAAAGTTCGATCAAAGGTAGCATTGCTAGAAGTTATGCATAAAGATTTGCAGAAATTAAAATTAATACGTTAAGTAGCATTCTATGGATTGAATAGAGGATTCATAAAACTGACTGCAGAGAATTGGGATGTGGCTAAAATGATGATGATATTATTTTCCTTATTAATGTTTGTTTTACAATATCTATGCACTAATATCTTGAGTAGCTATAAGTCGTGTATACGACTTGTATTGAGGCTATGTAACCCTTAGTTTTGCTGGTATTTTTTTTCTTTTTTTCTTTTTCTGTTTTAATCCTTTGTGATCTATCATCGTGTTAATGTTAATGGATGATAGTTTCAAAAAAAAAACATGCCTGTGATTTGAGTTGCTTTGCTTTAAGATATTGTTTTCGCTTCTAGGGCACAAGTTAACATGTCAATCATAGTGCATTAACACATCTGTGATTTCTATCATCTTGCTACTTTTTCTCTTCGGCCAGCACCAATCTGCACTTCACATCCATATGCATGCTGAGATGAATTGTTAATTTTCATTACTTGTTCATACCAACCTTAGGATCATCTGTGTTTTGAAGACATACAAACCTTTGAGCATGAAAACTATGGAGGTGTTTTTCTTACTTTTCAACTTGAGTATAATTACTTGTGGCCTGATAGTGCAGTTTTGGTATCAGATGGGGCCCAAAAAGTTGACTAAAATATTGCATCGTAAACTTTTTATTGCTCTGTGGATCCTCTTCATGTTAGCAGTATATTAAACTTTTTCTTCTTTTTACTAAATTTATTCATTGAAGGGTCCGCTTCAGCTTTTAGGCTCTATTGGTTTCCTTACTACTTCGTTAGAATATATTAAATGGGAATTAAGCTATGCCCTGATTACATTTGTTTTCACAAAACTGAAAGTGTGAATTCTGACCTATGAACATGAGATTAGCGGATGTGACATCTGAGAAGGCTTTGTTTGTTTTAATTATAATAATACTGTACTCTTTGGTTGTATGGTTATGTTACTCTCAAAAGAATGTGAATCAAGTGGTTGTATTTACTAACGTTGTTTTAACTATCAAGCCAATTGGCCTTCAAGTGGAAACTAAAAATCCTTTTTTCTTCAGTTCTTATCTAATGGCCTCCTCCCTGCTTACGTTCATGTAAATAAATGTATTCCCGCTTTCTTCACTTCCTAAAGGGTTTACCTTATGGGTAACCAGATAGGTTATTTGTTCATGACATAAACATATGTGGAAGTTGATTCTAATTCTAAATGGTAGTGTGATAAAGATGGTATTCTTATTTTTCTTGCATACAAATAACCAGTATCTATTTTAATTCATATGATAGCCGCAATACAATGTTTGAAGAGGAAGAAGCTTTATGAACAGCAAATCGAGCAGCTAGGGAATTTTCAATTAAGAATTCATGATCAGGTATAAGTTGCTTATAGAAGCTATTATTTTTTACTCTGTTTTACTACCATATGATCTTTTTACTCATTGTTATGATGGTTTTTTAATTCAGATGATAATGTTAGAAGGTGCCAAAGCTACAACTGAGACCGTTGACGCTTTGAGAACTGGAGCATCAGCAATGAAGGCAATGCAGAAAGCAACGTAAGTAACTAATCCCCAAATTATTATGAACAAGTAAAAATAATCTATACTCTGATAATTACATTGGCACCTTGTTTTAAAATGTAGAGTATTTTCTTGAAATGTGCAATTTTGTCCATCAATCTGCCTAGCAGAATGGACATGTATTCGACCTTGATTCTTCTTCTAATTGTAAACTTGCATTACAGGTATCTATATTACATCTGGGTTAGGTTTTAGTTTTTCTTATTACACTATAGATACTCTGTTTTGATTGAAAAGTAATGATTCTACCTGTTGGAGGCTTCATTCATATTTAGTTTTAATATGGTAATTTGTATTGCTTGTGAATGAAATAAAGCCACCTTCACTGCGCTAGAGATATACAAGCTACCATGCAATTGTGTGTTTTCTGGAGTTATGGAATCATGGAGGAGGTTCACATGTAGTGTTGCACTTTCCATCACATGTTTTCTTCGCATCAAAATTGTGATATCTTAGATTTAGCAAAATGCAAAGCCACCAGAAAACATCACTAAGTGTTTCCTTTGTGCTAAAAGCTTAAGCCCTTCATGGAAATTATCTGTCAGCATAGTTTTGTGCTGTTCATGCAATTTTTTGTGCAACAAATAATGCAGTTCTCATTGATAATCCCTCAATTATTACAGAAACATTGATGATGTTGACAAGACTATGGATGAAATCAACGAGCAGACCGAAAATATGAAGCAGATTCAGGAAGCACTCTCAGCTCCTATTGGTTCTGCAGCTGATTTTGATGAGGTAACGATCATTTTGTATTATATATTTATTCTTTCATTTGATTTGAATTTGATGAATCATTACTATCTTGCACTGGTAGGATGAACTTGAAGCAGAACTTGAGGAATTGGAAGGAGCTGAGTTGGAGGCAGAACTTCTTACACCAGCTACTACAGCTCCTGCAACTCCACTTCCCAATGTTCCATCTGGCAAGCAACCACTTCGTCCTTCTGCACATAAGAATACAGCGGAAGAAGATGAGCTTGCAGCACTGCAAGCGGAAATGGCTTTGTAATAAGGTAGTTCTTTGCTATAGTGTGTTATGCTCTAAACAAGTGTTTAAATCTGTCAATCGTTCTTTCCTGCCAAACTGAGTACATTAAGTTTGGAAACCTGACAGTAAGTGCAGCATATTTGTGATTATATTTGGCCTGATTATTTTGATTGTTCATAAAACTAAATCATCAAGGTGTCAAGGTTGAGGTGGATCGAATTCTTATCTTGCCTGGACAAGAAGATCAAGTTGTTACTTTAGCATTAGCATGGGCTTAGGATAACTGTAGCCTGTAGGTTCAGCATATTTGAAATACACTTTCAGGTGACATTGGTTTTTAATTTTTTCCATAAAAAAATAAAAATCTTAAAATTCAATATTTTATTTTTGTACAATGAAATTTCAAACTTTTACTTTTTTTCTGCTATATGTATATTTATATGTATTGTATAAAACTAGAGAAGGCGGCAAACATTTGATGTTTCTAATTTTATTTTCATATCATTGTTTTCGAAGGTTTTCCCATGCAATAATCATATTTTATGCATCAAGAAGTAATATGTTTCTTTAAGCAACACACGGGCAATTCATCAAGTGGCAAATCTTTGAAGTACCAGGTATCAACTTCGTAATATGTGACAAGGGAGCTTTGTTTTGAGTTTCATCTTTCAAGTTCTCACTATTTAGAGCAAATAGTGCAAAATTTCATTCAAAGTATTTGCCCAAGTGATGAGTACGTGGCAAAAATGACATGTTGTGCAATTTAATTGAGTTTTAACACCAATTTACCTAAAGCTAAATGATGCAATGAATATAATTTCTTTTAATTCCATTTATTTAAATATTTCTACTCAATCATAAATCTTACTTACTAAATGTAATTTATATTTTCAGCATCATTACTCTTATTCCAACTATTTACCGTCAGTCCTACATACTTCATTTTTCACTTGTTTCTATTAAGTGTTACTAAGTAGTTAAACTAATCTCCACAAATCATTTTGAATGACCTTTTAGTGTAACTTTGGGTCTATCCCTTTTTTCATTATTCTCTAACTTCAATTTTATTTGCCCCTCTAATGGAAGTATTTTCCACTCTTCATTGTATATGTTCAAATCTCTTATTTTTCAACTATCTAATCTTAAATATATGTTGCTCCAATCATTTCTACTATATAGCCATTCTTTAATTTATTCTTCTGAAGTTTTTTTGCACGTCGAGATTAACATTTCATCTCCTTCATGTTCAACTTATTTATTAATGATGTTTTAATGCCTAATAGTTAAATCCATGCAATATAATTTACTTAATTGTAATTTTATAAAATTGTTTTTATTTTTTTAAGATTTTCTCTTAAGTGCTCAATTTATAACATTCTTTGCGTGTATGGTAATCAGTCTCTCTTGGATCTACAAGAAATATGTTGTAAGCGAAGGAGGATAACTGTTAGTCAGCTTGTGAGTTCTTTATGACTTTTTGACTTAGGTCACATTTATGCTTGGCTTTTGCTGCTCCTAGTTTTCTTGTAGCATTTCTCAGCTCTGAATAGGTGGCTACTCAGATTCAACATAATATGGAGTGAGAGTTTCTTTTGCAATAATGTTTGACCATCTTTAGGCAATATAGATTTTTTATTAAAGGTAATGATTATACTTCCAATTATTCTTTTGCCTTCAATGCATCAAAATATGTTGTCAATCTCTTCTCTTTTATGTCTAATGAAATATCACTTCTTGAATTTTGGTTAAAAAAATGCTTCTAGTGATTTCATCAATATAAACATATGATAAGATGTTGGAAAATGTCAAATTTCCACCTTGCTTGTTTAGGATTATTTAAGAACCCTAAATTTGAGTGCAACTAACTGTCATTAATTAATTAGATATGTTTTGTTCACTTCGTCTGCCTAGAAAGCCTTGCAAAGACATGGATACGATCTTATGCTCCTTGCATATACCTTAAGAGTTTTTTCACCCTCTAAGTTATTTCATTTTATTATAAAGTTATTGGGATTGTTTTCCTTATACGTATCTTGTGGGATTCGTGGTGGTTTTTGAATTATGTGAAAATATAGCCTGATCACACGCTCTTCATTTTTTCCATTTTTTTTTCACTTGACCTTTTTTACTTTATAAAAGTTGAAAACACATCTGATTTATTTTAAAATAAAAAATCAATATATTCTTAATTTGTTGTTTATGAAGGTGATATAGTACAATGATCGTGTTAGAAAGGAATAAGGACAAACTCCACACATATGCACCCGCTCTAGCATTTTGGTTTTTAGTTCTTTCCTATTATTATAGAAATTGACCTGTTTTTGTTTTCCTAAAATATAATCTTTGCACATGGTGGATTTTTTATGCTTTAAAATTGGCTTTACAAGGGGAATCTTTATATTTTCTTGCTTGTATGGCCTCGCTTTTGGTGGCACCAATCTGAATTTAGTAGTTTGTTATTAGGTATTTACTTGAAGGTAAAAAAAAAGGCACACCTAAGCCTATTATCTGCATCTCCCTTTGATTGTCTACACCACTTATCGATTCATCAAGAATGCCTTCCATGATGACATTCATCATCTTCTTTAGCTTTTGGCTTTGTTCTTACTTATTTTGCTTTGATGCTATCACCATGCTGTCGTGCTTGTCATAGTAGTAGTATCCACAGAGCGATTTTGAGGCTTGATTCTCTTCTGATTTAACTGCTAGTTCTTATCACTAAATTTTAATTTCTCTCTTTGTTAATTCTTTTACTTTGTAACTTGCTCTTGTTTATAGAAAATATTGATGTACCTTTCCCTTTTTTTATCATTTAATATCTTCAATGAGGATGAGATCTCTAATGTCATTTAGCTTAATAGTTGATGATATATTATAATTGTCAACAACTGTAAATAAGTTCCACTAGCTTTCTTGCAGTGATGATTAACTTAGAGTACACATTTTATCATCAAAACTTGGTGCTCACGGGGTTAAATTATCTGATGATTGAGTTGAACTTGTTGAGGCCTATGGTGAAGCTCCTAATATTGAGTTTGAAAAACTCTCATTATACATTCCTTATTACCTACATAGGACTTTTCATACCTGTCAGAAGCATTTTTACAATGCCAACTATAGTGGCTTCATTCAAGATGCTAAAAGTGACATTCATGAGGAGTTATATTGAATTTACTCTTGTTGATGGTTGATAGTCTTTTCTGTCACAACCTAGCCCGAGACTTACAATTAATCAAGGAGAAAATAGTCGGTCGGACAGTGAAAACTAAGTTTTCTATATTCATTTACCATTTAACAAATGAAAGAGTCATCAATCAAATTAAATCAAAACACTATATTTAAATTTACCTCGTTATTGGTTCGTGTTTTCTATAAATATTTTCTTCTATTATTCATCTTTTAATTAATTAAATTAACCCGAAAAGTTAGTTTAAAATTAACAGTGTGCTTAATAAATCAGTGAATACTCATACTCTTAAACTATAATAATAAAAGGAAAAGGAAAATAATATGCATGTCAGCTAAGTTTTTAATAAATTAATATAAACATTTGAGATTTATTCAATAACTTTTACTATATCAATAGTATATCGATATTATTCTATATTTGTACAACTGTCACATGAGAATCTCTTAAAAATTATCTTAATTAAGATATTTCAATATCAATATCATTTTTCATTTCAAGGTCCCTGAACATTCTCCTGCTAGTACGATAAAATGGTGACTCTATTATAGTCAGTTATGTACATGCAAGTAGTTCATATAAATATATCATTCACGTGTTTATCGCATTCAATTCAATATACAATATATGACATACACCAATGCATGATAGTAAGTAGCTACAAACATCTATAACAATGTGACCAATTTAAGAACATATAAATCAAAGCTTATACATCTATCATTAATTATTAGTACAAATTAGTTGAGAAGAATCATAATATTACCATAGATTAATAGTACGAGTACTCACCTTGATAATTGACGATCTGTTTGCTCATAACTTGTATTACTTCTATCAAAATATCACCTATCAAATATAAAATATTTAATTATTACTTTATTTAATTATGTTTTCATTTAATTATCAATTAATATTGTATTGCATTGTTTTAATTAAGATTTCAATAGTTTAAACTTTAAGTTTAATTATTGTAATAAAAACTAATATTAAATATTATTAATTTATACAAAGATATGTTTAAAATTAAAGCCTTACCCTTCTTTAGTACTTAAATCAAAGTCACTTAAGTTTAACCTTTAAATAATAAATTTATACATATATAACATATAATATTTATTTAATAACTTAATTAAATAAATTACCTCGGTAAAAAAAAATTGTCTTCCGCTCCTTTTTCTCTTATTCATAGTGATTTATGTGAACCCTCTCACACTCTCAACTACATTAATAAACGGTAGTTCCTTATCTTAATTGATGATCATATCGAATGACATGAGTCTATATCTTAAAAGTTAAATCTGAAGCTGTTGTCACCTTAAAAAACTTTCACTTCATTTTAACCAATTCAAAACTTCAATTCAAGTCCTTCAAACCAACAATAGTGGTGAATTTTTTAATTCTATTTTAGGTGAGTTGTTGGTAAGTAAAGGTATGGCATCCTCCATTTTTGCTCATTTACGGACACTCATCAACAAAATGGAGTAGCTAAGAGAAAAAATCGACAGCTTCAATTCAAGAGGCTAATGTTGGAGAGGGATTAAGAGAGAGTAAAGAATACTAATCAGGTACAAATGTGAAATCTATTCGAGGGTAAAGGCATTCAATTTTTGTCTTTAGATTATTTTTTAGTTATAGTGATATTTCCCAACATTTGATATTCAAAACTAAACTGCTGTGTGTTCCACGAGAAAAATAGAAGCAATGGTGTATGAAGATAGGAAGGACAGCATCGACCGATTTGGACATTAGGTGCTAAAAGATATATGTCAATGATTACTTAATAGAACCTATCTTTGCATCACAATCGACAATTACCGGCCAAAGTGGTTGAAAAACTTTGCCTTTAACATATCATACAAGAAAATTACAACTAAGATGATGAAACCTCTGTCAAATATGTTGGAGAAACTTTAGATAGATGTTTGAAGGCAATTTCGTTGCAACAAAAATCATTTTGTTCATTTTGACCACTAATCAGTGGAGCTTGATTGGTATTAACTTTGATAATGAAATTCATGCATTGACATTGTTACCATCACTATCAGAGACCTAGGCTAGAACTGTGATAGTTGTCAGTTGTTCCTGTGGATTTATGCAGTTGAATTTCAATGTTGGTTGTTGATGGTCAACACAGAACTTATGTACAGGGAGAAGGTGATGTTTGTGATGGGCCGTCAATCTTTCTCTTTTAAAGTATAAATGTACTAAAATCAAAATATAAACAAAAATTTGCGCCTTATTGACTGCCCTGCAGTGTGTAAGATATTAGAGCTGCCTTTCCTTTTAGGGCTAATGGGTTGCAATTACTGGCTAAAAAGAAATAAAATTTGAATTCAAACTATTGATACGTATCAAATGGAAACAATACTTTTTACTATAAAAAAATATTATAGGATGATTTACATACGTAGAACTCAATTCCTTTGTATTAACATATCTAACACTACAATTTATACTTGCCGATGCATCAAAAGTCGTGTTTTACTTTTTTAAAGTTAAAATGGGGTATTTTTATTGTGATAGGAAGGATTTGGGTGGTATAAATGTAAAATCAAAATTTAGGTGACATTGGAATTAGGTGGTATGCATGTAAATGTCCCATTATTATAAAGTTGAATAATTGTGAATCCATTGTTTTTCAGTATCATTTTAATCTTCTGTAGAAAAATTTGATTTAACTTTCTGATTTGCACTCTACAGGTTATGAGATTGGTGATAATCATATAGGGATGATTTGTGCCCTGGGAATTTAGAGATCCTCAAGCCTTGCTCTACTGTTTTAGCTCAAATCTATGTTGCTTTCTTCAATGTCTTGTTGTAGGCTGATGCTTAGGATTGAACTATTCCCCAATTATACCATTTGTGATACACAATGTATTTAATATTCACTATTGATTGTCATTGATGCACATAGGCTTTACTGTGTCAGCTTATGTTTGGTTTATGTGAATTGATGACTTTACTCCTGTTAGACCCTTTGTGGCGCAATATATCTGTGTGTCGGTGTAGTTTACTTGTGATGAATTTCTTAAAAATTGCTTATATATATCAGATGTGTACTCATATCAGTTGGTCGGGTGTCTACTTGTCAGTTGTAAGTACCATCTGGTCTTGGGTTCGATTTCCCTCGAGTGTGGGATGTGGTACTCAAATTCTTAGGCGCATGAGAAATGACTAGGGCTTGTATAATAACCTCTGGCCATTTCTTTTTTCACTTACTCGAATTTAATAATTCCTTAGCTCGAATTGAAATTTAGTTGAGCTAATTTTTAATAAAATTTAGCTTGGCTCGGAATCATATTTTTAGTCGATTTTGACTTCGGATTTGATTGATTTGAGATCATTTTGTAAAATTTCACTGTTTTGATCAGATTATCTTGCTGAACTACTTAAAATATCTTCAATTTTGATATGAATTTACTCATTATAAAATCATGGAGGAAATCTTCTGTATGAGTCCATGACTTTAAAGTATGATTAATAATTGTCATGTATATTTTCCCTTAGATTTTCAAATGTATTGATTTGCAACAATGCATTTACTTAATATTATTGAATTCAAATATACAATTATAAGTTATTACTTTTAATGATGTAATTACAACTAAATAAATTAGTTTAGTCATCATTGATCAAAATTAATGAAGAGATTGATGACATGATTCTTTACTCTTAGTGAAAATTAGAAAGAAAAAAATTTTCTGATTGAGTCATCAAATTATTATTTTTTTAATTTCAGTGCATCATTACGAAAATAATTTAATTTAGGTGCATTTACATACATACCACCCTATTCCTATATATTTATATATCTAACACCTAAATTTTATTTTTTATTTTTATATTACCCAAATATTTCTCTTCCCAAAAAAAACATCATTATTTTAACTTCTAAAACGCAAAATACGTATTCTCAATGCATATGCAAGATGTCTAGCATGTAGAAATTGATGTTCTGGTGTTATATATGTAAATGCATAAGAATTGAGTGGTAGTGGTTGTAGTCGGCTAGGGCTTGTTCTGCTGAAGGAAGGCACACTTCTACTAATATAAACACTTGTATATTTACCTTTCTACCCTTCGGGAATATTTCAAGTATGTCACTATGCTTTATAAATACACACCTCTGTAACAATGTGTATGAGTGAAAATAAAGAAACCATTAGTTTCTCTACATGTTAATCTCTCTCTCTTCTTCTTCTTCAAGAATTATCATGGTATCAGAGACAAAGCAGTAAGCTCTGCCCATCCATGAATACCTCTTCTTTCTCTTACTCTCGACATTCCTCAAGCTTACTCAATAAAATGAAGGAAACAAGCATTCTCGGTCCCTTAAAATTTTTTATGACAAACATAAAAATGTGATTCAAAACCCGTTCGCATATGAAAATTACAGAATTTGGAAGATACAAGTTCTTAAACTGTTTATTCCAAACGGGTTTGAGTCATTCCTAGACCCTACTATACCCACTCCTAAAATTTCTCAAGATTCTCCAAACCCCATCGACAATCTTGACCATATTTTATGGAAAATTATCTCTGCAGCCCTCTTTCTCACAATTTCTTCTTCTGTTTTTCCTTGTATTCTCCATCTTCATAATGTTGTTGAAATCTTGACAAAACTTGAGCGAATGTTTCAAACAACTAACAATTCACTTGTTATCCAACTCAAAAATGAGTTGCATAATATCACAATGAGATCGAATAACATGACTTAATGCCTTAACGTATATCAAGACTAGTTGATATTATTATTGCGGCAAGATCCATAATAGACAAAGAATATTTCATAATATATATTCTCAATGGCATGCTAACCCCTTGCAACAGTTTCGAATATCCTATTTGCACTCAACTCCAACCCATTTTGTTGGGACAGCTTTATTCATTACTACATAGTGAGGAAAGTAATCTTGAGCATGAGAGTCTCAAGAACCCTCCCTAGCATGCCTTATTTCACTGCAAAACTAAAAATACCAACGCAAACTTTCAGAAAAAGGCTTCATCCTCTTGAAAGAATGCCACACAGTCAACTAACAACAAGCCCAAGTCATCAATTGAATGTCAAATCTGCTATAAATGGGGCATAAAGCTGCCAATTGTTGGCATCGCCCTAACCTTCAATATAAGTCAACCTATACCACTCAAGTTCATGCTCACACATCCCCAGTTCTTCCAAAGAATCAAGAATGAGTTTTAGATATCAATGCAACAACACATCATACTCCTTATAGTGACAACCTTCAACAATCGGTTCCATACATTGGAAGAGAGAAGATTCTTGTTGGCAACAGACAATCGACTGAATTTCCCATGTTGGTGTTGGGTTATTACCCACATCAGATCGTAAGCTGATTCTCAATTTTCTCTTACGCGCCCTTCATATCTCACATAACTTACTCTCTATTCACAAATTAGCTAGTGTAATAACTAGTATTATTTTAATGTTAATGAATTCATGATACAGAACCGACTCACTCGGAAAACTCTTCTCCGTGGACCTGCTCGTGATGGACTCTACTCTAGTACAACACTAAAAGTTGTAGCTCAGAATTTCACATGGCATAATAGAATGGGTCTCCCTCACAACAAAGTTCTTCAATCTATTGCTCAAACAAATCCACATTTTCATATTTCTCTTACTCATGTTGCTTGTAATCATTGTTTTCAAAACAAAAGTCACAAGCTATCTTTTAATTCTAGTACTACTAAATGTAATCTCTTAGACATGCTTCACACTAATGTTTGGTGCCCATTTTTTCAGCACTCTGTTACTGGTTGCAAATACTATGCTACCTTCATTGACGCCTTTTATAGATATTGTTGGTGCTTCATCTGGCGTCTCTTACTGTTTTATTCACTTGCACAAGCAATTAACTGATCAATTTAACAAAAATATTAAAATTTTACGAACTGATGGGGGCAGTGAATATAAAACCACTTATCATCAACAACATCTTCGAGATCATGGCATTGCACATCAAGTAAGCTATCCATACACACCTGAGCAAAATGGACTAGCTGAAGGAAAGACCCAACACATTGTTGAAACTGCTCTCACTCTGCTAAATCATGCTAAACTACTACCAGAATTCTGGCCAGCAACGATTCAAACTGAAGTCTACTTAGACTTCGATCCACCACAACCTACAACAAATCACCTTTTCAATTGATATTTAAACGAAAACCTGCACACAATCCCTTAAAAACATTTGGTTGAACTTGTTATCCCTGGTATCCTCCCTCTCATCTAAATAAATTCTCTCTAAGAGCTCCTCACTGTATATTTTTTTAGGATATAGTCTCTTTCAAGGACTACCTGTGCCATGTTCTCACTACTCACCACACCATTATCTCACGTCATGTTTAAATTATTAAGATCACTTTCCTTTTCATGATCAAGTCAACATTTCTTCACGGCCATCTCCCACTCCATCTCATACCATTCCCCCCCTTTTTAATTCAGGAATGGCGAAATTATAAATTAATCGACGAGGAGTATTTAAGTTAGTTTTCTCCTCTTAAAAAAAATTTGTTATAAATCTTTTTAATTCAGGAATGGCGAAATTATAAATTAATTGACGAGGAGTATTTAAGTTAGAAGTTTTCTCCTCTTAAAAAAAAAATTATTACTAAAATTATTATTAGATTAAAAATGTAATTAACATTAAATTATGATTAGTATTTAAGTTTATGAGATAAAATTTTCAGTGTGATATAAGATATTAAAGAATTTAATAAAAATTTATGAGTTGAAAAATATCTTTCCCAGACAACCCATAATACCGCCAGTCTTATTTATGGCAGAGGTTTCACCAAAAGAAGGGAATAACATGAAATTGTTGCTCGATGATTTATTGTGCTGGTGGCCGTTACATGTCTTGTAATTATCTCTCCTGCGCCCTACCGTGCACCACATCTAGTGATTACATGATGTGGTGCACAGTAGAATGAAAAAATACTGCATCAGGATTCCGCACGTAGCCGCACGTAGAGCTACGTGCAGAGTCCAATGAAATTATGTCGTGGAGGTGATCGGTCCGGTAACACAAGAGAATATTCCCCTCGTGTTATTCAAATGTTATTGTGTATTATTCAGGTGTTATTGTGTGTTATTCAAGTATTATTGATGTGTTATTGTGTTATTATAACACCGAAAATAATCTCAGAACACAATAACACATGAATAACATACAATAACACTTGAATAATACACAATAATACATGAGTAACACGAGGGGAATATTTTTTTGTATTACTGGGCCGATCGACGTAATTTCATTGGACTACGTGTAACGTAGCTCTACGTGCTGAGTCCTGATGTAATATTTTTTCCAGTAGGAGGCGACCGAGAGATGTTGGTCTTACTTGAAAAAAAAATATTACATGTGGAGAATGTACGTGCTGCTTTCATGCACCTAAAAAAAATAAACAAATAAAAAATAACGTAAAACCTTTGTATCTGCATCAGTGGATGTACATACGTTCGACATATGTAATATGTGCTCTCGTATTTGAGCATATTCAGTAACATCTAATTTTGAGTTATGCTCATATTTCATAAGCCATAGGTCAAATTTTCGGGCAAAATGAGTTAAAAAGAGCATATTTATACACTGAATATGACTGAATTGTTGATTGCAATTTTCTATTTGACATGCTATGATAATGTCGGCGATAAAATAAGACATTTATTAAATTTCTAGTTTAGTTGATTTAATGAATTTAAGAGGTGGTTTATGATGTTATAGGCTAATTATTCTTTTTTACAAGTATCGTTTGGCTATGATGTTGGTATCGTTAACGCAATGAATCATTGATAAGTTACATTTATTGAAATTTTACATCAAAGATATTGACATTTTTAGTTTGTTTTTGTTTTTTTTCAAAAACAAGAACAAGAAAATTAAAAAATGACATTTATTTCTCCCAATACAATTATATACATATCTCCTCGATGAGACTGAATTATTCGGAGCAATATCAATTTATATATCTTGTGTGCTAG